AGAAAAGTTAGTAGATGTCAAGAACGAAAGCAGGTGCTTATGAATTAATTTTTCAAGAATTTTACTGACATTGGAAATCAACGAGATTGGCCTATAATTAAAGACTAAAAGTTTACTTTCTTTTTTGTGAATGGCCTTGATTAAGGATTGTTTCCATAAAGAAGGGAAAACACCAGCTTGAAGAGATAAGGAAAAGATATGGTACAACTGAGGAGCAATTATATCGGCAGAAATTTTAAGAAACTTTATAGATATACCGTCCATCCCAACAGAACTTTTATTTTTTAAACTGGAAATAGAGGTGAAAACATTAGCTACATCGAATTTGACATTGCACAACAATTGAGAAGTTACATTAGTAGAGGTTGAGGAGGTAAATGTGAAGGTCCTTGAGTTGTAGCAAAATTAGTTTCAAAGTAGTCAGACAACAGTTGTGCTTTAGACTGATCGTCAATTGCAAGAGTAGTGTTATGTCTAAGGGTGACTGGTAAATCACACTCTGTATTTATTTATATGTGTCCAGAAACGTTTACTACATGAAAATGTTTTCATTATTAATTGAAATAACCTATTTTTATCTTTATGAACAGATTGAATTGACAAGTTTCTAAATTTTTTGTAAATTTTAAATAGCCGAGGAGGATGGTTTTTGTATTTCGATTTACAGAAGGCACCGTCTCTTTTATGTTGAAGGAATCTCGTCTGCCTCGAAAGTTGAAGGGTGCATTGTTGAACAAGAGGAACTATTTTAACTGGAATAGAGATTTCGGTCGAGGAGATGGCTTGCTCAATCCAGAACTGTAAGGCACCATCTGGATCCTTAATACAGAATAGTCAATCATTCATCGACAATAGATTAGCATAGAGAACAGACTTATTAAGGTGATCGAAGTCGAGAATGGCTTTAATGCGATTAGGTATTGGATCGAGATACGGAAATGAGCATGATAAAATATAATGAGGTGATTTACCCAAGGCACCACAGGTGAAAGTGTTAGACAGATGTAGTTGGGTAGAATGAAGGATGTTATCAATATACGTATCTTTCGTGGTGGTTGGTACAGAGAAAGCATTGTCAAATCAAAAAGATCTAAAAGTGATCGCAATTCTTGGAATATTAATTGGGATGGTTTAATTGTTTTAGCATTCATGTCGCCCACAAAACGCAAAAACTGAACAATCAATCAATTTATTTTAACACGTATGTGTCTGGATGTTAAAGAAAAACTTACGAATACAATGCCTTTTAAGATCAAGAGAAACAAGAAGGAATTGTTACACATGAAGAGAAAAAATAAAACTTTAAACAGAGAATTTCAGATTCTAAGTACCGTTGTAAAACTACATATTTAAATCACTTAGTCCCAAAAGAGATAATAAGATGTATTCCTAAAAGAGATAATAGAACAAAAATGTGAAATTTTTGTAATCCCACAAGAGATAATAAATTTAACTAGTAATCAAGAACGAAAAAAAAAGTTTAAATTATTGTGTTTTCAAAAGAGATAATACAGAATGAAAAAACAAACGAAACTTATGGGTATACATTTTATTCTCATGAAATCAAGCAGAATCATTAAGTACAGTGTACAAAAGCGAATGAAATAGTGTACAAAAAGAGAAAGATGCACGTTATAATCGTGAACAAGAACTTTTTCAAAGCTTACCTTCAAAAAAATAGCAAAATCTGATATAATTCATGAAGAACAGCTTACTGAAACTAAACAACCATATGAAATAACAAAAGATATTGAAAGTTATAAACGTTCAATACGAAGAAAAGCTTACTGTTCTTTACATGAACATGAAAAAAAACAATGGTACTGATTCTGATTGATTTTGTGATGAGAATAAAATATATACACCATTCTCATTCTATATTATCTCTTTTGAAAACAATAATTTAAACTTCTTTTTTCGTTCTTGATTACTAGTTAAATTGATTATCTCTTTTGGGATTACAAAAATTTTACATTTTCGTTCTATTATCTCTTTTAGGAAAAAAATTTATGATCTCTTTTGGCCCCTAGCCATTTAAATACAGTCTTAGCCTTCGCCTAAATGCTCCTTTGGCACATTGAGATATGGCAGATCGTGACAAGAGATTCCCCTCCATACATGTGCAGGGAAGAACAGAGTGTTTAGTTGCTTCGAAGCTTGTCTTAGGGATAGTCCACTGACACCGATTATTCAGCCTATTCGACGTTCTGCTAGTTAAAGGTGTGATCACGTTAAATCTTGAAAGAGCACTTTTCATAATTTTATGAATTATTCTCATTACAAATTATTCTGGCTGCCACTTTTTGAAACAATATATAATACTTTTTCAAGAAAGATTCTGTAGGGAAACGCTTTTTTCCTTTCAAACAATATCTGGAACAAATTTTATTGTTATATAGAAGCATTTAGAAATTAGCATTTAGCAAAGCTTCAACACGCATATATGCGTGCCCCGGCGCCAAAGGGTTAATATAGACAGAAATTGACAAAACAAAATGGTGATTGAAAAACAAAACTTCGGTACCCGTGCGAGATTTTTACATTCTTTCTCGCACCGGTGCGCACCCACCATGCACAATCAGTGCCGATAAAATATTTTTTTGTAGAGCAGGTTTGTCTGCATTTTTTTGCTAAAAACTTCCAGTAGTTTTGGATATCTCTATGGCATGTCAGCACGATTTAGAATGTGTGAACATTCGGACGAAAAACATTTCAAGAAATTAATATAATTTCGACTCGGTTCCAAACGGATTGCAATGCCACAGATTGATCAAGACTTAATGAATGATTTGGTTTTTCAACTCTGCTCGTTTTGTAGTTCAATACTGGACAGCAGTTTGTTTTTGTTATAGTTTCTCTGATGTAGTAGATACCTGATTACCTGGTTAACTTGCGGCCGGTTACTTTCCGTGAATTCGTCCAGCTGTGAATTGAAATCATATAACTGTCGCCACTTTTGACAATAGGATACTTCGCTCAAGTCTCGAGTGGTTCGCATGTCTGTCTTATGTTGCTCCATGACTGGTTTCATCGTTGTTAAATCACTGAAAACAAAAGTATCGCGAACGTCTTTTTTATTCGTTGATCACGACTTTTTCTACGACACTTATGGAACTGTGATCTCTTGGCATGAAGATCAATTTTGTCTAAAATTATACTTTCATTATCATCATTTGTTTCGACTTTCAAATGACCACATATTTTGACGATACAGAATCACTAGAGAACTAGCAAATAAGGAAATATCTCTTTCCACATAAGATATCCCATGTGCAGACATTTTTTCGTCTTAGCGCGTCGATAGAAAAGAAAGAGACCAGAAAGATATCCATGTGCGAAAAGAGATATTCTCTAATATCATTGTCACAAACATTAAAATATCTCCTACAGTTGATGTAAGCTCATATTTAATTAATTACCACGCTCTTTCTCATCGGATTTGTTTGACTTTTGCCTTTACTCATTACAAGATCACCTCACTTAACTTCAGATACTCTGCTGGTCCAGACATGGGCGATTAGACAGATACGTCGGGCATTGGTTTGTAAGATTAGTCGTTCAACTACGCATGTTCACAGCACAAGCTCGCCTTACGACTCTCACAAATCGAGTAGTCCTGAGAGGCTAACCGCCTATTGTTACTATCGATCAAACATCGTGTGATGTTCGTGTCATGAGGAGGTTCGTGCCATTTCACGTTTAATGAGTACCAAAAATAAATGTGTTTTTGATGTAAAACGTATGGCCTCGAAAGATCCGTTAACAGGAAGAAAGAAAGACAAGAGAAGTTATCCTTTTGGAAGCTCCTGCGCCAACCGAGTCATGTGTATCCTTTATCTGCACAGTTCTGGAGACGATTTGTCCTTAGTTTAATGTCATTGCGGACGATATGTATTTGATTACAATGATCAAAACGTAGAAAAACAAAAAATATTTTGTACAGAAATCTATGGATGGTCCAAAACACTTTTCAAGAAAACGTTTCGGTTCAGAAAGATAGCTACGATATTCAATCTGATGATCATTCCAGAAAAAAGATTTAAGATTTTTCAAATCGCGGTATCCTGTCCAAAAACCCAGAATTTCTCTGCTGTTTCTAGGATATTTGAAAAAGGTATGGTTATGTTAATTCATCGATTTTCAAGACTTCTTTGATAGGAAAAAACAAAACTTTTAGCTTAAAGGTTTCCCATGATTCAAAAGATTTGATTCTATATAATTCAAACGTGAGATATTGTCCAGAACAAGTGCTCCTTAATTTTTAAGAATCCTGTTACACTTGGGAGATAATGACCTCATGCTCGTAGAGCTTTCAACTCAAGACCCTTCAGGCAAGAATCTCTGAAACATATTTCGTTCGAAAGAGCTTATCAGAGTAAGTCTAATTCACATTAAATACACTCTTCACACAAGTTTATTCTTAAAAATATAACTGATTGAAAGTAGTTTTAGTCATTACTCTTGCGTGCCTTTACAAAATCCGTTAAAGCTCGTCGAGGATAGGGTTCAGAGGTCTGAAAATCTTACCGTATGTCGCAGTTTTTATTCTGATTGTTACGCGAAAAGCACTTTTGATTTAGTGAAAGTGATGCATCCACATTGTCTGACTCTCAGATATCTATTTTTAATCTTTCAAACGTCATGCTATTTTCCTTCGTTCAGAAAAATAAATTCGAAACACTTAATCAAAATATTACAATTGCAAAAAAAAAACAGCGAACATAGCAACAACAAAAACCACGAGTAAAGTACCTTTGTTTTTCTGTTACATACAGGTTTATATACAATTTCTATTAAAAAAATAGAAAGATATCAGATCAAAAGGTTTTGCTCAAAAATTCATCAGAGCATAAAATGACCAAAATTTTGTCAATTTGCTTACATAAAAATGGATATCTGAACAATTTTGAACTACACTCGCACAAAGAGAGAGAGAAGAAAACAGTCCCTGAAAAGAATATCATCTAATAAAAAGATAACAAAAAAACAAATAATAACATTCACGTAGTAAGAGGATGATTGTTCCAACGGATACGCGTTTGAAAAAACTGAATAAGTTGTTCCGGACAATACTTACTCGCAACATGCGATGGTAACAATTCCATATTATCTTCAATTGGAGTATTAGGCATGTAATGAACAACATAGTTTAGTTTAGTTTCATTTCTGTTTACGCCTAATACAGCTTGAACCACATAACCTTGTTCGACACCATAACGGTGTTTAGTTGGACGGACATCTGAGGATAATTGTTCTTGTACCTCCTTTTCTGTTTTATTTACTTTTTTTAAGACACTTGTTGAAGGCTTTATTATTGTTCCGACCGTCGTTGATGATATTGATGTGCTCATATTTGAATTAGAGTACTCTTCAGCTTCATCGTCTATAATTTTCGTCTTTTGCTTCTTTGCTGGACGTTTATGTGAGCGATGTTTTGATTTTCTTTTTACCGTTCGTTTCGTATAATTTTTCCGTCGTTCCTTTTCTGTTTCAAATTCAAACTGAGCGATTAGTTCTGGACAATTCAAATCTTCTGCTCTCACCCATTTATTTTCAGAATCATCATATCCCAACCATTTTAATAAATATTCTAATTTGCCATTACGTCTTCGTTTATCAAGTATCTTTTCTACTTCATATTCACTACCTTCTGAATCGGAAAAATTCGAACCTAAATCTTCATTGATGCCACTATTATTTTTCTCATTATTTTTCTTTGTACCGTCATCATCTTTGTTGATGTGATCATCAAATGAATTTCTAGTAGACATAGTTGACTATTCTTCTATCTGCAAAAAAGAAAAACAACTTAGGTCTAGTTTTTCAATTCTATAATCATTAGCATCAAAGTCCACATAAGTCAAATGTTTTCAGCATTGAATAATCCTAACAATAAACATCGTATTGCAAGAGCAAAATACTAATTTGGTATATGGTGATTATGAACTACGAGATATCTTTAGATGATTATACAAATCATGCCGAATAAAGCCATTTTAACTGACTCAATTACATACATGGTTTTGTAAAGGCTTTTGCTGATACGCAAGAAGAACAACTCGAAAACAAGTGTCGTTGATTCGTTCAGACAGCGAAGGCACGTCAATGAGATGAATTGTCTGAAGAAGTAAAGCTCACCATGTACAGAAATGTAAAAACAGAAAATAACAGTGACGCAGCCGAGATTCGTCAGTACAGGAACGTAGACAGAATTTAGAAATCGAAAATATTTCTTCTCGTTGGGATAAACCGATTGGAAGCTTTATTTATCTTTCGCTTGTTTCATCAAATTTTGGCCACGAGGCAGCAAGACTGACTTAGTCTTTATTCTTAACCCTTGTGTAGCACGATACATTTTCTTCTCCAAAATAGTTTGCAACCTATTAAGCTAATAATTAGAAATCAACGATACAGGTCAATAAACTTGCGTCCTGAACAATCCAAATATGAATCAGAGAATATTTGTTTTGGACACAAAGCATGAACTAATACTATCAGAAATGTAACATGATAAGATTCAACGAGAATATATAACACCAAGCATTTTTTAAGACAACCCAAGGATCGATCATGTGTATACTGTAATTGGTTGATAAAAGTTACTAATGCTTATTGCGTAACGAAGAATATGATATGTCATCAGTAAGGAGGTCAAGTTCTCAAAAAGAACTGATCATAAAGATACCAATCAATTTTCTCGAAGTAAAGCCACGTTTATATATACACGTATAAATCATTCGGAATTTTGTTTCTTTCGAATCTAATTGGTGTTTATAGCAGCTCTGCTCAGTATTGCAAGTAGCGCAGGTCAAATGAGATGACATGTCCATATGATTGTGACTTATTTATTAACGGCCTGCGTTCTCAATCAAGAATTTAGGTTCTGTTGTCCAGTCAGTGATAAAGTGGAATTTGTCATTGCTCTTAATGAGAAAACTACATTGCAACGTTTCTAATAAGATTTTTTGTTACTGATTGTATTAGTACGCAATTTTTTTCATAGACTGTACAAACTTCACACGTTCGTGCGTAGCAATCAAAGTTAAAGGTTTTGATGGTTGAGTTTTTTCAAATTACAACGATTTATACACATGATAATATGTTCTGGAGAGAAAAAATATCACAACTTTTTTGTTTTTATAACAAGCTAAAGACGATTTTCAGCATCTGTGTGTTCATCACAACGATTCGAGATAAAAACAAATCATATCTAACCCATGCACACTTATTTCTACTCTAACTTCGGAGTTGAGGTTTTGTACTGCCTGAAGTTGAGTTGAACCCAAAATTTTTCAATTTCGCTCCAAAACGTTTTAGTTCCTGTAGGTTTTTTCCTTAAGCGGTTGCTATTACTCGAATTTTATAAGGTGATAACTTGTCAGGTACAAAAATATGTTCAGGAATCGTGAGTAATATAAATCGCTAAAGTTAGCTTTGTAATATTCGCTCTTTCATAGCCTGCCGCTTTATTTTTAGATCAGCACCATGTCAACTTACCAGGAATTCATTGTTCAGAACGAGGAGAGAGATGGGGTTCGTTTTACATGGAATGTTTGGCCGTCTAGTCGTTTAGAAGCAACACGTCTCGTTGTTCCATTAGGTTGTTTATTTACACCTCTTAAAGAGCGGAGTGACTTACCATTAATTCAATATGAACCTGTTTTATGTACAAGAAGCACTTGTCGGGCTGTATTAAATCCATTTTGCGCTGTTGATTATCGTGCAAAAATTTGGACATGCAATTTTTGTACTCAACGTAATAATTTTCCTCCACAATATGCCGGAATATCCGAGCAGTTACAACCGGCTGAATTAGCATCGCAATTTACAACGATTGAATATACATTAGTGGTAAGATACTCACTCTTATAGTTCAAAGCTCTTATTTTACTTATTGTTCTAGCGCTCGCCAGCTCAACCTAGTGTCTTTTTGTTTGTTGTTGATACATGCATGGATGAAGAGGACATGACGGCTTTGAAGGTAAGAAACAAAATCTTTGGCTATTTTATAAGAAGAACATTCATTTACTTCTCTTTCAGGAATCGTTACAAATGGCATTGAGTCTTTTACCAACAGACGCACTGGTGGGTCTTATTACATTCGGACGTATGGTGCATGTGCATGAATTAAACTGTGAAGGAATGACGAGAAGTTATGTATTTCGCGGCACAAAAGATTTAACAGCCAAACAGGTTCAGGTCAGTACAAATGCATTGAATTCAAATTTCTTTTGAAGATTTTCTTACTGATATTAATCGCTATGGGTAACTGATACGTCTTTTTAGGATATGCTTGGATTAATGAAGCATCAATCGGCACAAAAACAGGTGGGTGGACATCCAAATGCTCCTCCTCAATCGGGCGCACCTTTTAGCAAGTAATTAACTCATCAATGATATAAGTAAGAGCATGTTTGTTGTCCGACATCCTATATTTCAGGTTTATTCAACCCGTGTCAACCTGCGATATGTCATTAACAGATTTACTTGGGGAATTGCAACGAGATCCATGGCCTGTACCACAAGGTCGACGTCCATTGCGTTCGACAGGTTCTGCTTTATCGATAGCTGTCGGCTTGCTAGAAGTAAGATTGGAGTTGTGTCTCTACATTTCTCTACTGCGTCATTTTTATTTATATTTAGACATTATATCCAAATACGGGCGCTCGCATTATGCTGTTTATAGCTGGACCATGCACACAAGGGCCTGGTATTGTAATCGATGAAGAATTAAAACATACAATACGTTCTCATCATGACATTGAAAAAGATAACGCCAAATATATGAAGAAAGCAGTCAAAGTAAATAGAAAAATAATATCATTTTTGCTTCAGGAGTACTCAGTTATTTTGTTTATTTAGTTTTATGAAAGTTTAGCAAATCGGTCTGCTGTAAATGGTCATGTTATTGATTTATATTCATCTGCTTTGGATCAAACTGGATTACATGAAATGAAATATTGTTCAAATTATACAGGGTATGAATATGAATACTACTGGCTTTCAGCGTCTTTCAAAGTTGTTCGTTCACGCAAGAAAACGTTTTTATTTACTCTTTTTTTTTGTAACGGCTTCAATCGTTCAATTTATCTCAACCTTTAACCTATATGAGTCAACTTTAAGCATTTTAGTGACCATATCTATTGTGGCATATGAAGAATATTAGAAATGAGACGTTTCTTTTGTGTCCCATTATATATTCATGTTTACTATTTTTGTTCTTTTTCGTTTTTCTGCAGAACTGTGATTATTCTAGACAAAAGTCATCCTTGGTCACGATATATTTTCATCTGGATTAAAATATATGTAATTCTGTAAGAAAATGTCGTAGAAAGCATATCGATGTTTGATTTTGAAGAGAAGAAAACTTTCTTTTAAAATATGTAGCTAAAAAAGCTTACTAAAAGAATTACAGTTCTGCAAAGAAAACGAAAAAGAAAAAAAGTAGTAAACATGAATATATAATGCCGGCACAAAAGAAACGTCTCATTTCTAATATTCTTCATATGTCACAATAGATATGGTCACTAAAATGCTTAAAGTTGACTCATATAGGTTAAAGGTTGAGATAAATCGAACGATTGAAGCCGTTACAAAAAAAGAGTAAATAAAAACGTTTTCTTGCGTGGACGAACAACTTTAGCAGACACTGTATCTACCGTCTATTATACGGTAGATACAGTGTTCAAAAGTATACGGATTTAATCCACATACTTTTGAAACTTACTGAGGAATAAGTTTATCCCAATTTCAATGCTTCATCAATTATTGCAGACATAATTAGTCACGACGATGATTTGTGGGAATTATATTTTCTTAACGGTAGTTTAACTCAACTTCAGATATTTTCGATTAGTCCAATGATAACGTGTTACATTTCGTTCCTATAAACAAACTTTTTTTGTTTCTAGTGGACATATGGTCATGGCTGATTCATTCAACACATCATTGTTTAAACAATCGTTTCAAAAAGTATTTGCAAAAGATGCGCGAAATGAATACAGAATGAATTTTGGAGCTACTGTAGAAGTGAAGGTAAGAAATATTAAATGATAATGATAATCGAACAAAAAATATCATTTATTTGTTTTTCACTTAGACAAGTCGAGATTTGAAAGTATGCGGGGCTATTGGTTCATGCGTATCTCTGACACAACGAGCACACAATGTTTCGGAAACTGAATTAGGTAGGACTAAAATGTAACACTGACCAACTTATTACAAAAAGAAAAAAAATTTTAAAAAATCTTTTTTTCCGAATACTCATTTGTATGCATTTTATACTATAGGTATGGGTGGAACAAACGCGTGGAAAATCTGTGGCATTTACCCGAATTCAACAGTTTCAATATTTTTTGAAGTTCTCAATCAGGTTCGTATAGTGAATTCGTAGTTAGTTTGTGTAATTTTTTCTAATTAATTTTGGTCATGTAACATCTATTTTTAGCAAGCTCAAGCGCAACCGGGACAAACTGGTAATCGTGGATATGTTCAATTTATAACTCAATATCAACATTTATCGGGATTTAAAAAAGTTCGTGTAACAACATTGGCACGAAAGTAAGGGAGAGATGGATGAGTATTATATAGTTTACGGTATTCATTTTTTTTTTAGTTGGATTGATGCCGCATCTAGTATGCCATTAATAGCTGCATCATTTGATCAAGAGTGTGCAAGTGTGTCGATGGCTCGAATCGCTGTTTATCGTGCCGATACCGAAGAAGGGTCAGATGTTCTCAGATGGTTAGATAAAATGTTAATTAGACTTGTACGTTAATGTGTTTCATCGCTTAATCATTGTTGTTAATAATTTTGTTATTTTTAACAGTGTCAAAAGTTTGCTGTCTATGAAAAAGACAATCCTGGTTCATTTCAACTAACAGAAACATTCACATTGTATCCGCAATTTATGTATCATCTTCGGCGTTCACAATTTTTACAAGTATTCAATAATAGTCCCGATGAAACAGCATTTTATAGGTTCGTAATTGAAATATTTGTTATATTCATTGTAAAATGTAATCAATCATTCTAACTTATTTGAAGACATTATCTGCTTGTCGAAGATCTTACACAATGTCTTGTGATGATTCAACCAATATTATATGCCTACTCATTCAATGGCCCCCCGGAAGTAAAAAGAGATGTTTTTAAATGAAATTGAGCAATTATATTTAATTAAATTCTTTTTTTCTATAAATTTATAGCCTGTTCTCTTGGATAGTAGTAGTATATTATCGGATCGAATTTTATTGATGGATACATTTTATCATATATTGATTTATCATGGTGAAACAATTTCACAATGGTCAAAAGCGGGTTATCAAGATTTACCTGAATATGAAAATTTTAAACAATTATTACAGGCACCAGTTGGTGATGCTACGGAAATTTTACAAAATAGATTTCCAATGCCACGTTATATTGTTACAGAAGCAGGAGGATCTCAGGTTTATATTTATTTTGATTATTTAATAATTTGAGATATGGAAAAAATCATTTTCACAATTGATTTTTTGTTATTTTGTTCTAGGCCCGATTTTTGTTATATAAAGTAAATCCATCTCAGACACACACTACTCATGGATGGGGACAGGTAATATCTTTTTAAAATTCGTCTAACAGATTTGTCTATAAATAATATTATTTTATTTTTGTAGGCTCTGGGTGCCCCAATTCTGACAGACGATGTGAATTTACAAACATTTATGGAACATTTGAAAAAACTTGCCGTTTCAACATCGACGTGATCTGATTCAGAAGAACGCATGAATTTTAGATGAATAAAAGAGACATTTTGTGTCTGTTGCTTGTGTGTGTGTGTGTTGATTGTTAATTTTCTCTCTTTTTACTGTCGAATAAATGCAGTTTTCGTGCGCCCACGGTTGTATGTATAGATTTTAGGGAATTTTCATTGGTTTTTTGTTTATGACTATTTATAGTGAAATCTTCTATTAAATAACTTTATCTTGTTTAAATTTGTCAGTGTTCTGTCACAGAAGTTGAAATAGAGAAATGAACAGAAATTGTTAATGATCCGATTTATGAAAAACTATAGAGTTTAAAGGAACAGTATATGTATAGTATAAAATGAACAGCTGAAGATCGTGGAGAGTGCGGGAATCCTTCAAAATATTTAACACATTTCATTCTATAAATCAAGACGATAGAGACCTTGGCCGTTTTGCTATGCAAAGCACATAGAGAGCGCATAGTAGAAAAAGAGTATGACATGAATTACGTTCCGATCCGGCGTCACAGTTACGTACTCCAGCCATTCTATATCGAAATAATATCTAAATGTCGTATCTGTTCTCGCAATCAAAACAATGTAAATAGATATAGGAATTTCAGTGACGTTGTAACTATTTTATCATACTTTCTCATTAGAAATCATGTATGTATAGGTATGCAGAGTTACATGACCCCCAAGCCGATTATACCAGCTTAGAATTTTCTTCTGCCTGTTTCTTTATTATTCACAACACAGTATTTTCAAACAAAATATATTAGATAGACAGAAATAGTTATAGAAATAAATACATTCCAAATCACATATCACATATCCAAGAAAAAAGGTCGATTTCCTCCCGTTTTCGTAATTTCTACTCAGTTAGTTTAGGCTAAAGTCTGAAATACTGACGATTCGTATAAGAAATACAACAGGAAATTTTCCCCAAGGTGAATTAAATTTAAATGATTTCGTCACACTTTTCCATATGAACTATCTTGTACACGTTCGTTTAAACTACTTTTACTGTCGTAAGTCACGGGAAACTTTCATAAAATTGATTGGCACTAATGATATTTGGAAAATGTTTACATTAGTGAAGAAGGAAGGATACCGCTGTGTAATGGTGACAAATCAGGCTCGTTGGTTTCAAGTAGTACGATATCTTTTCTGCATCAATAATTTCCGACAATGGTTACTTGTTCCTTTACTAGTTATCAGACTGCGGCGCTGATCAGAAGACCTCCTCGAATTAAAACAAAACTTTCACTATCATTAACTCGTAGAACTCTATATAGATAAAAAAAATGAGAATAAATCCGATTATTACTTTGGGGAGGAGGAAAGAGAGAAAATAAAAATGCTCAATGAAGAAAAACTTGTTATTTTAATCGGTCTGTATGTGAAAACTTTAGACATGAAACTAATTTTTTTTCAAAAGTATAATCAAATTCGAACACGCACAGAAGAAAGGCGTAAGAATGATTGAAAATGGTACTTTTGCTTGATTAAATTAGTGGATAACAAGGCAGAGAATGATAAATTGCACTCGTTAGATAAAAGTTGTTGATTTTTTCACCTTTATTTTGCTATTTTCCGAATGACGCCTTTTCTCTTAGAATCAGATAAAATCAGTTATTTATAGGCACCGCAAATAGCAAGATCTGTGACCAATAGAATATTTTAATATTTTTCTCTAACCCTTTAAAAGGCATCTCTGAATAAGGATAATTTATATTATTCGATAAAATGATTTGAATTGAAATGAATTGAAACCTTCAGACAACACGGTATGATAGTGTTCTGTAGTCTGCTGGTAAGAAATCTACAAAAGATAATTTACAAAATCTTATTGGTTTTCGGAAGGGATTACTAGAACACCCTGGACTAAAACCATGGTGTTTGAATTTTTGATCGTATAATCAAGTTTATCTGACAAAATTACCCATATCCTGAAGTTTTCAATTCGTTCTGATGTATTTAGAATGAGTTATGAATCGTTTGACATTAGATGTCAACAGCTTTAAAAATCTAATTTTTGTAAAACGATGAACATATTATTATATCTGCTCATTAGAACTTGTACATTGGAATAATTGATTAGTTTGTGGTTGGAAGTGTCATTTTCCTTTTGGCTTTTTTCATATACGATTGGCTCTGAAGTTAATCAAAATAAGCATACCCCGCTATTATACTTCTTTTGATAGCCACAGATCCTATAATGTTTCTCTTTTTATTATAGCCGTAAAGTCTTTCCATTAAGATATGATTTTTATCAGAGAAAGGGTGGTTTACGCCTGCTATCATATTTGTCTGTCAGAAAAAAGTATATAACAGTTTCTTTCTAACACATAATTTTTTTCGTGAACACAGCATATAGCTAGCTACTGCTTTCAAGTGTTGAATTATTTTTACACATATTTTATTTTTCTCAAGTTCTTTAGGGATGTTAGTTCTTTAGAGATTTTAATAGTTAAAAGTTAAATAGTTGCTAAGTTTTTATAGTTTGTCCTAGATTCTTGCTTAGTGTTCAATGTCTATGGTTTTTGCTATAAATTCAATGTCGTTTTACTCTTAAAAGCAAACTATTCTTCGTAAAACAGAATTTGTTCTTTGACGTTGTATATTAACAGCACATATGAGTGACAATAAAATTTTTTACGCTAACTAAATTAGAATGGCTCTTTTGTTTTCTCTTATTTAAAATGTTATTTATGAATAACCATCATAGGTCATAAACTTTGTATCTCAAATAAAAAAAGAAATCATGAAGAGAACATCATCACTATATATTTGATCAAAAAGAAAAATAAAATATGTGTAAAAATAATTC